GGGATTGACAATGCTTTGGGGGAGGAGCTCTCTGCATGCACCACCTCGCACCCGCCTTCTCTGTGCCCACTACACCCTGCAGGCAGTCTCTCCAGGGTAAGATCCTGGGAGATGACTAGAGAAAGACTTCCTGGACGCCTGCTGGCCCCGGGAGGGTCCTGTTAGTGCCATAGCATGTCACTTCTTTCAGCCTGCAGGGTAGCCAAAGCCGGGCTTCCCGCTGGAAGGAGCAGCACTCCTCTCTGAACTTCCAGGTGGTAGGCCTGTGGGCTTGCACCAGCCTCCACTCCATCCAGTAAGAAAGCCTCTCTTCCTGACTCTTCCCTCCTCAGTCCTGTTGCCAGGCTGTGGGATAATCACCCCATTCACCCCAATGTCCACCCTCTTCCCACAACCCCCAGCAGGCTGGCACCACTCCCCTCCACCTTTATGTCTTCTTCCAGAAGCTGTATCTGGGGGGGCCATAGAGAAGCATTTTTTCTGGAAGGCCATCTTTTACCACCCCTGCCTTCCCAATGTGGGGGCAGGAATTTGCACATGGTGTAGAGAGCTCCCCTCCCTGCCCAGCCTTGTTACCTCACTCCTGCTCCGGCCGTGGCTGTGAGGGGCCCCGCCAGCTCCCTGTTCTGATGCGTTCTGACAGCTCAGGGGCTTGGGGCGTGCTCTCTGTTGTGACTTGAGGTCCTCAGCAGGCTGGGGAGCCTGGATGGAGCCTTGGTTCCTGGTGAGAAGGGCCTCACCTGCCAAGAACTGTTGCCGACGATCTCTCCCTCGTGTGAAGTCCTAAAGAACACCGATTGTCACGTTGCCCTGTGGCGCTTCTCTCAACACATGGAGATCCTTTGCAGGAGCAAATCAGTGACCTCTACTCCAGGCAAGACAGCTGGCTCTGTCTGGGGAGTTGGCCTTGGGCTTGAGTGTCATGTGCTGAGATTGAGTAAATGCAACCATTTTTTGCCAACGATAATGTGTGGCTCTCCACATTTCCTTACCCTGCCCTCGAGAGCCAGACGACTCTTCACGGACCAGACCATCTCCCCAAACCCACGGTGCTTTCCTCCCCCACGCAGCCTACGAGGGATGGGTCAGAGGCCACAATGGCCCCTGGATAATCCTGGCACAGGCGAGTGGGGCGAGACAGAAGGAACGACTCCTGACACACGCACTGGGCCATATGTGGGGAGGACAGGTTGACTGCGGCCAAGTTGTCTGGCTTCGGTCTTTGGATCGATAACTGTACTTTGCCTGGCGCTGTGCGCAAGGTCTGAAAACTTACTGCTAGTACCTAGAAACATACCAGGCTACCCAGCCAAATCTTAATGTAAAGTAGCTAGAGCCATGAAAGTGCAGTATGAATTAAAAGAAAACTAAGTACTGAACTATAAGTAATAAATAGTGTGTGGGTGTGTGTTTATTGCTTCATTCATTGGTGCTCGTTGCCATACACGTGTTTGCTTTTTCCCACAGGACTACAGCAAGTCCTAAAGGTAGAGGTGTGTGTGTGTGTGTGTGTGTGTGTGTGCGCGCGCGCATGCACGCACCCATGTACATGCTCAAAGATATCCACCCAGCATCTAGAACCACCTTCCCAGGGTAGGGAGGCAGCCTGAAAAAGTAGAAGTTGATATGAGGTTTCTAAGTCAGTCTTTGAGTCAAAACTGCAGCATCACGATTTATTGATGTAGGGGACTTTGAACCGAACCCATTCCTGAAAGCTTCAAAGTTTTAGATATAAAGTAAATAAATGTGTACATCAAATGTGTAAGGATGACTGCAGTCATTTCTTAAAATTAATTTCTTAGTTCTACTATCACTATAGCCACGACCAAACGGTTAGCTGTTCGACTACACCCAGAGCTCCCTCAGAAGAAAGGGTCAGCAATTTCCTTCTAAACAACCCACCAAACCTCATTGAGTCAGCACCAACTCCATGGTTTTTGTTCTGTTTTTAAAAAAATTATTAATAATTGCCATGATAGAAAATGTGCTGGAATATGAATCTAGATGACTGTTGCTTGAAAGTTTTCCCTTTGAAGTCTTTCGGTGACGGCTTTGCCTCACACCTTGTGTTATGTAAATTCGTAGCATTTTTCTTGCACTCAGTCCCTGGCCTGACAACTTGATGTTGGGCAGATGACTAGAACCCAGCGCCACGTTGGCTCTTGTATCCTTTGCACTGGGTGGGAGGGATGTGGAGAGGGTGTATCACACTTTTAGCATTCAGTGAGAGTGTTCAGTGTAGTGGTCATTGTCTGGGCATGTATCCCCCAACTCAGAGTCCTAGAATTGGGGCTGGCAGAGGTGAGACGTGTGGCTGAGACTTAAAAAACCATTTGGAGTAGCGGAGCATATTGTAGTAGGTAAGGGAGCTTCTGAAAATTTGTGGGGCTTCAAAAACTGTTGTCTTTCAGTGCCAATTTCCACAAAAATTTTAAAGCTCCATCATATTAGCAAATGTGCACAGGGAGAACAAAAACAGCTAGTCGTTTTTAGGTATATTTTATTGGATGATCAGGGAATTTACATAAAAGTACTACATACAGGCATTGGTTTTCAAGGGCTTAAGTTATCAAGAACAATTATTTCTAGAGCTCAGAAAAAGACTGACTGGAAAATCAAGAAAAAGCAGGGAGAAGGTGATACTGTGGAAAGGGTCCATCCTTTGCAAGACTGTAGGCGTCAGTCGATGGTGTCTGATGATGTTTCCCAAACGTAGGCTCCTGTCCCTCAGTGCATCCCTCCCCACCACACACTGTCCCTCTGATGCAGCTCTTGCCATACAATGAGAGAGTATTACTGGCTCTGAGGATTAGCTAGCCTCTGCTAGAGGTTGCGTTTGATCTGTAGTTCACACTGGTTTAGAAGTACACACCGACACAGTACTGCTTCTAAACTCAAGGTAGGATGAGAAAGTAGGCTGACCTAAATGAGGTGTTACCCACATTAGAATCTTGGAGATGGAAAGATTTGCATGATAATATTTTTCATACCTAAAACCACGGGACACAATGTGGTCTGGACTACTGTTTGACACCAAGGAGTGCTATCCTATGTCGAAGGAGAGGAGGGTTGGAACGACAAACATAGAGTGCGTACTATTCAGATATATTTGGAACTACTAGGTACATTCATTGAGATGGGGGCTTTTCATTTATGAAAGAGATAAAGGCTTTTTTTTTCATTTCCATAAACATCAAAGTTGGGTTTACAGATTTTATAATGGGTATGTTTTCCCTTTTAATCAGTGGTTTTTATGGGTTTTTTTCAGGTAGGAGGAGAGGATACTGTGGTCTCTTAACCATTCACTTGGTTACACATTTCCCAGCATCTACATGCTTTGAAAAATTACCCTTCCATGTTTTGTCCCATTTCCACATTGAAAGACAAACTAGTAATTCAGAGACTAAATAGTCTGAATGTGTGGGTGTTTGGAGAGGAATAAAGTTGGTGATTAAGTTTTCAAGATGAACGTGAAACCCAAAGATAGAGTAGGGACAGGTACGGACAAAGTATGTTCACACCGGAGTTGGGGCTGTAAGGTAAGGCTTGGCTGACAGGAAAAGTACAGGGCAATGTGCTTTCAAGGTCAACTGAGTTAATCAAGTACATGGCTGGCAAGCAAGCACTAAGAAAGGGAAGATGAATTAAGTGCGTTTTGTCGCTGAGATTCAGTCACTGGAAATCTCCAGCACCAAGACAACAAGTGGGATTTCTAAAGTGGTCATAGCCCTTGATAACCCTTCTGAGCCCTTACCTGAGCGACCACGTGCCAGGTAGGACTGTCCGAGCAATGCACGTTCAGTCAGCCCTACTGAGGACAGGGGAGCAATGAGAGGTGAGTGAGGATTTGAAGTAGGCTGCTGGTCACAGTTATGGTCAAGTCGCCCAGGAAGCATGATTCAGGGGAAACAAGTGTGCATACTCCAGTGGAAGTGAGAGCCCAACTCGGGCTGACTAAAGCCCGTCTACTGAGGAGCAGTACGATGGGCTTCGGGTTGAGAAAAGGTGACAGAACACACCGGGACAAGCAAGAGAAGCACATAGTAGGTGGAAGTTCACGAGAGAAAGAAGAGCTAAGAACTGAACTAGGATCCAGAAGACCTGAATGATAACATCCTGCTTTTGCATTTGCAATGTGGGGGTGAATTGTACAGAAGAGATGCTTGAAATGAAAGTATTTTCTTAGCTATCTAGCCCTAATGAAAGGATGAGGTAAGTGGAGGAGTTATAAGAAGGAAAAGAATAGAGAAGTTTCGTTGTAAAGAACAACGAAATGCTGAGTACTATTCACCTTCATTAGAAATCACTCAGGAAACATTGGCTGACCCTGGTTTACTAAACATTTTTCATCCAGGCAAATTACATATCACTTGATTGCAAATTAGATGCAGTCTACGGTAGCTAAAGAGGAAAGTGGACCGACAGTTGGTAGCTTGCAAACTCTACCAAGAACCAGCCACGTGACCAGGAAAAACCTCACATTACTGCAGGCAGCTTGCTCTAACATCAGAAGAATTATCTACTGGCTGCCCCTGTTTACAGGGGTTGTGCCATACATTACCTATGCAGACTGCCTTAAATTTAGTGAAGGAATGCATTCTCTTCAGTAAAATTAGACTCTTGAATGCATGCTCAAGGATTTATTTCAATTCCTCAGGGATGGATGAAAGAGGAAAAAAGATGTCAAACTTATCAGGTGGCAAAGCCAAATGGAGCGTGATCTTTCCCCATAGATCCCACAGATAAGAGAGCCAAAGGATACGTCCCTCATCCAATTCCAATGAGAAGTCCCTTAAAGTATCATACCACTCTCATCAGTAGGCACTGAAGGACCCCGTAGTTTGACCAGTCACTCCATCAATTAAGATAAAACATGAGATAGTAAGTAAAAATGTCCTAATGTTCTTCTGCTCTCCCCAGAGGAGGAGGACCCCGTTATATGGGTTCACAGGTGAAACATTTCAAGCCACCTAAAGCATCCCTCCCCTCTGACTTCACATTGGCTCATCACTTGTCTCAGACTAGAACACCATTTATGTATCACTCAGATGAAACATGGAGAATGTTCCAGATTCCCAGATCTTGACTCACAGGAAGGTCTACCTCATATCCACTGTACCTTTGTGGCCAGTTGCCCGACCTTATCATTAGGCTCAGCTAGGCAGCTACCCCATTCGTTTCCAAGTTTTACAAAACAAAGTGATCTCATCTTCTCTAGTTAGTCCGCTGAAGTCACCAGTTAAGTCCTGCAAGATGAGGAATAACACTGAACCACAGAACATTTGGGAAAAACAAAACCCTTGGGAAGTTCCGTCCCAGGGGGATGGGCAAATGCCTCCCAGCTCTCTCGTGGCTGTGTGCTCGCGCAGGGAGTACACAGTGTGTATGGGGGCCTTCATAAAGTTTGTGGAGCAATTTCATGATTGTATTCCCTTTTCCACACACTTTTAAGGATTCCTCATATTATACCATTAGTATCAAGAACATGTTTTTAAGAAACAAATTTAACAGTCTTTCCTAAATCATCTTTCCTTGGCATCCAACCCTGGGGCATCCAACAGGCTACAAAGAGTAGCCTTAAGATCATTCTTAATATTTCTAAAACTGGAGACCTAGTGGGACATGCTTTGCTCTGTGCTCTTGCTAAATGGGCCAGGGACGGGGGCGGGGATGTTTCAAAGCATTCCGCTTCATGACTGAGGTCTTGGCCTGCACTAATCACTCCCACAGTGACTTCTTTCACTGGCGTGTCCATTCTCTTGTAGCAGAGAAAGGGCCAGTTCCAGCCAGGTGAGAACTGGGAGGTGTTAGTTCCAGTACTTGTTCAAAGTCATTTGGAACACAGAAGAGATAAGAGTTGTAGAGGGAGCTGCTTTCTTGAAAGCCAGACGGGGTGAAATTGAGGGCATGTAGGGATGTTGCCTCCTCGGTTCTTCTGGCAAAGTCATGGTACCCAGAGGTCTAACTGAATTAGGTTATCAAAGATGAAAGTTGAGTGGATGGGTGGATGAATGGACAGAAGGATGGATACATAAAGGGAAGTGCTAGGGCCCCTAGGGCACCCTCCAGATACCGTTGACATCACTGACTCTGGGATATCCAGTCCCTCAGCATTCAGCCCCCTGTCAATGAAGCAGCTCACGGAGAGTGCCCAGCTCAACCTAGCACAAAGATTCTTTGACCAAATCCATGATTCTTACAAACAAGGATGTCGGTATTTATTATGCCTTTGAACTAAGGAGTTTGTTTAGGTTGCCCCAACATTCAGCCAAAGCAACCCTCTTTCTTTTTCTTTTTTCTCTTTAGCAACCCTCTTTCTGAGGCATTAATATCACACAATTTTGTGATGGACATTAACTTAAAGAAGTACTCAGAAGGTGGGGGCGTTGGGTGGGGTAGGGATTGACCTAAGGATGGGTGACAGAGGTACCCTGTAAATTCTTCCACTTTTATCCACTTCTCCCTCCCCTTCACCTCATGCCACATCCTCTAGCTTCTATTCCTCCACCGGCACTGCAGAATTCTCTTTGTTCTCAGATGGGATGGCAAGGTAGTCAGACCTGTAGGGGAACATAGAGGGGAACAGATCAGTGCTTTCATCGCCAGTGGTGGGAATATGGGAATGAGGGCACGGGATCAGGGGTGTCCACGGAAGAACACTGCATTTCCTTCTGGCAATGCTTCCCAAGGGAAAACAAGAAGGGCCCTTTCAGCAGATTGAGAACAATGGGTTTCTTTTCATATTTGTAAATGAACACTCCCACCAGCAGTGTATGAGTCTTCTCATTAGTCTATATTATTCTCAAGATTTAGAATTGTTCCAATTGTGGCTAAACAGATAAGTATAAATTCTATTTTATATGCCTTTCATTTTCATTTCCCTGATTATTGGTTGTTTTCATGTTTATAGACTACTAGGGTCTCTACCTCTGTAACTTGACTGTTCCGTTGTTTTCCTTCTAAGATATTTTCTCTCAAAATGTAATAAAAATTCTATTTTTTCCTTCTTAACTTGTGCCTCTTGTATTTTAAGAAAGCCTGTGCAGTCCATGGTAATATATTATTTTCATTCCCTTAAAAGAGTTTTGCATTTTTGTATCTTACTTTAAGTTACACTATTTTTAGTCTAGTGTGAAAGATGGTGAATCTAATTTTTTTGTCTTCATTTATTCTTACTTCTTTCTACGATTCTAAGCCCAAATCTGCCAACCATTGTTTTAAATATGCATGAATCAATCCATCATGGTGTTGTCTGTTTGTGCCATGGGTTCCTTTTTTATTCCTATGTTGATACCATAAAATCTTCACTTTTATAGCTCTATAAGGAATCTTCAGACTCGACCCTGGGTGAAGCAAACTGTCAGGCTGCTAACTGACAGACTGTAGGTTCAAAGCTACCCAGAGCGGTCTCAGAAGAAAGACCCTGCTGATCTACTTCTGAAAAAATCTTCCCCTGAAAACAGTGCAGAACATTATTCTACTTTGATGCACATGAAGTCACCGTAAAGCAGTCAATCCAAGGACAGTGTGTGTGTGTGTGACCTCCGGTCTTTGAGATGTTTTAGACTAGGGGTTCACAAACTAAGACCACAGGCTAACTTCTGCTTTGTGTGATCCATGAACTAAGAATGTTTTTTACACAAAAAGCAAGGACAAATATGGTACAGGGACCTTATGTGATCTACAAAGCATAAAAGAGTTATAATCTAGCTTTATCTATTATAGACTGTTCTTGGCCTTTGACTTCCCAGGTGATTTGTAACATTAGTTACAGTTCTTTGAAAAACCCCAGTGGGGTTTCACTGAATTTTCAGCTTCAATTGGGAGAAAATTTCTAGGTTTATAATAGCAAGGCTTTACTCTGCATCTGTTTTGAACTGCGGACCTTTTGGTTAGCCGTCCAATGCATTACTCAGTATACCACCTTCGATTGAGAGAGATCCCTTCAAAATGGTTTTTCACTTGCTATTACAAGGTTGCTGTCGTTATCATTGGCAGGGGGTTACAGATTGAATTAATTGTCTTCCAAAAACGTGTCAACGTGGCTGAGCTATGATTCTGTATTACATAATTTTCCGCCACTTTTATGATTTAATGTAATTATCTTCCACTTCTACGATGTAAATGAGACAAGATCATGCTTCTGCAGTTCCAGGGTGTTAATGAGATAAGGCAGTAATGTTATGAGGCAGGGTTCCAGATGAGAGGGACGCACTGCGGCCAAGAAAGGAGAAGCAGGACAGAGCGTGTCCTTGGGGCCCAGGACTGGGGCCTTCCGAGAACAGGCAGACACACAGAAACCTGCCTTTCGAGCCAGCACTCTGAACTCGGACTTCTACCTACACTGTTTGTCAAAGCCGGCCGCTTGTGTCATGCATACGGCAGGACTGGAGAACAATACAGCGGGAATTCATCTGTGGGTGAGGGAGGGTTGGATTACTTTCTTAGCGAATTTCTTCTTTAGGGAGTTCCTGGATTATGTGGGTTGTATAAATTTAAATCCTCGATATTGTGAAGACTAAATTTATGACTGCTAATCCTCAAGAATCTGCAAGACAAAAGTGGATCCGCTTCTGTTTCTGCTCATGGTTCTGTGGGCTGACTGCTTTCTGCGCTAGTCTTTCCCTGAATTATCGTCCTCCGTGAGTCTCGGCTCTGTTAAGGGCCTCAACTTCAACTCTGCCCCTTGTGTGAGCACTTCCTGTCCAACTGTAAGCACTGAAGCCCAGGCACCTGAGCCACCAGGAATGACAAGCTTCCCCAACACAGCACTTCCTCCTATTACCATTGTAGACAGTTTTAGCGTTTTATTTCCCCATGTAGATATCATGAAAAGTGATGCTGTATGTATTTTGACAATGGATATAATAATGATCTTTCAGAAGGCTGTGGTGGCGGCTGAATGCCTTTGACTCGGTGAATAAGAGTGCAGACCAAAGGTCACCGCATGTGAATTCAAGTTGCTTTGCCTCTTTTGATGTCCTTAGGCCCAGTTGCGCAGACGGACCCCTCATCTGAAGAGTAGCTATAATACGGTGCTTATCTCAGAGGTTGCAAGGAAGACAGTGCAGGATGCACATACATTATTAGCTCCTCACCCATGAGAAGCAGCATGTTGGCATGTTTGCACTTACGCATTTTCTTGGGCCGCCTCTTCAGCCTTTGAGACCTTCCTGTAGCAATAGACCATCTCAATGAGTAGCCATAAGGTGAGGAAGACCAGGAGGATGTACATCATGATTTCTGAGACCACCGAGGTGAAGTCCTCTCCAGCTGCGGGGAAGAGGGGATCTCGGTATGTGTGTGTCCACCAAGCTCAGAGCTGCCAGTGGTGTCGCCAGATACATCAGACCTGTCTATATGCATGGCTTCAATAACGACTGGCTTTAATGCCACCGAGAAGGAGTGAGTTAAAAGCTTCCACACCCAAAAACTCTCCTGTGTGTCCACGTTCTCCAGCTGCTCTGGAGGAAGGGATGAGGGAGGGTCCTGAGCAAACGAAGAGACGAGAGCTGTGAAAGGAATTCTGGGCTCAGAGAGCCAGGTATAGGTGATTGGGTCCTAATTTTGCTACTTACTGTTGTGTAAGTAGTCATTTCCCTTATTTAAGACTCAGTTTCTTAATCTGTAAAGTGAGAAGAATAATTTCCACTTGTGAGGGTTGGTGTGGCTACTATAGTAACTAATGAATATTATTTGAGATAGTGTTGGAGGTTGGGGAAATAACAGGCAAGGACTCAACTAACAACTACATTTGTATTTCAGAATATCTTGTAAGATGTAAAAGTCTACATAGCAACAAGGGGCGTGCCTCAGTCCAATGATGTATGTCCTCTAAGTTTCTGAAGCATGCTGGAGAGTGTAGTTCTAGGGAGAAGCTTTGAAACCACGTGTGCAGAGACAATGCACCTGTAATTTGGATATGTTCTCAAAGAGGCTAGATTACAGACAAGATCTTCCAGTTCATTTTCCGTCAAAGTCCCAGAACAAAGACCAGGTTCATCCCAAACACAAACCAAAACGTGTACTGGATGATCCTGTATACTACTAAACTGCCTCAGCACCCTACCTCTGAAATTCAGAATTGATCCGCCATTTTCCTGCTTACAAACTTCCTCGGGACAAAGCCCAAACTCTACACAGATGGCATATGCAGCACACAGTGCGGCTCCGCTCACCTCATACCCGGTCCGTTGTCAGCATAACTTTTCTTTGCCTACACACTGTGGTCCTTTGAATTTTATGGATGGTTCTTCTTCCTAGTCCTTCCTAGATCTTCCCTCACTCACACACACACACACACACACACACACACACACACACACCCATCTCCCCTGCCTCTACATCCCCCTGTGCTTTTCTGTTTTCTGGATCAGTGTTCCAGAGTTGACTTCAGTCTCCACTGCTGTGAGATTTTCCTCAGCTTCTCCTGCAGAGTTATACACAGGCTCTCTTCTCTGCCAACTTACATGTGCCTATTGACACTATGTCTTATTTATGAATTAATAGCCTCTAGTCTCTTCCTAGAATTTGAGCTTCTGAATAAGTAGCTGTTGAATGAATAATTAAATACTGGTCTTTGGGGTATCACAACTGACAAAACAGTACATGGGCAATGTGCTGACACATGCTCTTTCCTCAATCCCAAACCAGAGAGTTGATTTTACCTCAAAGAGACCCTGCAGGACAGGGGAGAAGTGTCCCTATGGCTTCCGGAGGCTGTGGTTTTTTATAGGGGCAGAAAGCCTCCTGTTTCTCCTATGGAGAGGCTGAGGGTTTCAAACTGCAGACCTTGCAGCTAACAGTCCAATATGTAACCATTATGCCACCAAGGCTCTATTCTTTCTCCCCATCACCTAGCAGTGAACCAGCTTTATGAGCAGCGGTTCTCAACCTGTGGGTCAAAACCCCTTTGGGGGTCGAATGACCCTTTCACAGGGGTCGCCCGATTCATAACAGTAACAAAATTACAGTGATGAAGTAGCAGCGAAAATAATTTTATGGTTGGGGGGAGGGTCACCACCACATGAGGAACTGTATTAAAGGGTCCCAGCATTAGGAAGGTTGAGACCCACTGCTTATGAGCCTTTGTTATCCATAGACCTCAAGCCCCCTCCCCTGTCCAGGGCCTTGCTCATTAAGAGCTCAGCTTAGAGAAGCAGGCCCAGGCTTCCAACATGGAATGGAGGACAGAGGAATAGCTCAAAGCCCCTGAGAACATTGCACAAGCTCAAGGTCTTCTCATGGACTGGTCACCACCTATTGGCCATCTGTGATATGACTGTGCAGCTAAAACCTGTTGTCTCTTTTAAAATGCAAAACTCTGAAACAACATAGGAAGCTGGCCTCAGTGGTTCTCATTAGCCCAAGTTCAAGAGGCTTCCGTTTTCTGTCTTAGAGCCAGGTAAGGAAAGTCTATGCCAGGCTAAGGCCGCGTCTCAGAGGAGAGGTCCTGGGACCACAATGGAAAAGGGATATGCTGTGGTGGAGTGGCTGTTCTAAGCAGTGGTCCAGTGAATACCTGGTAGAGGTGGCTCTCAGCATCACCACGGAGGGAAAAAAATGAAAGGTGGCAGGAGTGGGGATGGGGAGAGCAGCAGAAATATCCTGATAGGCGAAGGATGTGAATTTTGAGCCTGCTGCTGGCGCTAATGTGCTTCAAGACCTCACACAAGCCTCTCGCCCTCCCAGCACCCTGTCCCTACCCCTACCAAAGGAGGGGCAACACTACTGCATGCTCCCATCATTGGAGAGCCACTTCAATGTCTGCTTCCCAGACCAGGCAGGTGAGGAGGCCTCTACATTTTGGGAAAGCCCCATGAGCGATTCTGACGTCCGTTCTTTGTTCAGAACTTCTAGCAAGATACTATGCATGATCAAACATCCCCAGACTCTCTCTGTCCACAATAACAAATTCATTTTCTTTACATTCTTACCTAAGCCTTACCCTGGTACCTGAAAGGGTTTGCCTCACTTTCTACTGAATGCGCTGGAGATAAAACCTGAGTGAGCAGGAGGTGGGGAGACCGAGGGATTTTCCCATATCCTGGGGCTCTCCAGCCAACAGTTCCCAACAGAGGCCAGTAGAAGGCACTACGCTCCCTGTCCCCAGAAAGCAAAACTCTCTCAAACTCCCTGCCATAAACAGAGGATAAGGGAACTTCTGAGAGAAAGGTATCTCAGAGAGCTGCTGGTCCAACCCCTGTGTTTTACACAGAAGGAGTCAGGCTCTGAGGGGAGAAGTGAGTCTAGATTCAGGTGGCCTTTGCACTTGCAAAATTGAACTACCTCCCAGTTTAGTCATGTTGCTTGACATATTGCATGTCTTTCTCTGCCATTCTCAAGTTTACCTCATAATTTTTATCACAAGAACTTATGCTAAGAAATAAATAAATGTATAAACTGGAAGTCAGGATTCCTAGATGCATTTTTCTAGGGAAAGCCCTGGGCATCTTTAATGTGGTCTCTTCTCTCATATCCCCACCTTTGCTTGCTTAGCATTCTGCTCCTTGGTGCAGCAAGACTACTCACTAAGAAAGTGTGGGAGGCAAGTGTCTGGGGAAAAGGTACATCTAATTGAATGATCACTACGCCTGGGTGAGAAAGCACCAAGGGAAATTCACATGTACTCCAGACAAGTGAAGGAGGCTTTTCAAGAGCCTAGGAGCAGCAGTTCTTAGAGCCCATGGAGAGCAGAACAAGGAGTAAAGTACCCTCCAACCCCACGCTGGGGATTTTCAGACTCAGGCATCAGCAGAAACCTTCGAGCTACATTGCTGAAAGAGTCCCCGCCCCCCCCCTCCAGTGAGAAGTAGCTGTGGAGTCGGAAGAATTTACAGTCAAGACTAGAGAGCTACCCTCTCTCCCCGTGGAGAACGAAGCTGTGCGGCATGAGAAGGGGCTGCATGTGCAATCCTGATGGAAGAACACATTTTGGTTTAGCGCAATGGTCCCCCAAGTGTGGGCCCTATACTGGCAGCATCAGCATCCCCTGGGAAAATGTCCGGCATTCAAGTGCTCAGGCTCCACCCCAGACCTATGGAATCTGAAAGTTTGGGTTTTAAAAAGATCTGTAGGACACTGGGAAAGACCTAAGGACCACTAGTGTGTGAGAGCCACTGATATTCTACTTATAGGCAGGAGGATGGATGAACTGTAGATAACAATGTGAGAAAAAAAAAGAAGGGCTAGTTGAGTTGGTAACATTAGATTTTGTGAAAGCTCTAAGGATGAAACCAAAAGCCCCAAGAGGGTATTGTGCCATCTCCAAACTTCCTGCTTGGTGGAAAGGACATGAAAGACAAGCTGGCCACTAAAAGAAAACAGATCAATGGTGACAGATTTAGATATCACCTCCTCAATACATGCTTTTTAGCAATCTCCAAGTGTCTTCATTTACCCACCTGTCTTCCCTCCCCTGGACCTGGTGCCCAAGCCTTACCCTCCTCAGTGACTCGAAGCGGGATAAGTCGCGTAGTCTTCACAAAGGGACGATGTGCCTCAAACTCAAACTCCCGGGACACATTGCAGGTGTAGAGGCCAGAGTCATTCAGGGTGACATTGAGCACAGTGATGGACACGTCCTGCAGGTCCTTGCTCCCATTCCACTGCAGGCGCCCCTGAAAGGGGCTGTCCACCTCCTGATGGCCATTTCGGTACTCATAGATCTGTGGGTAGAGAAGCAGATGACGTCGGGACAGGAGAGAGGGTAGAGCAGGCAAGCAGAGATGGAGACAGTAGAGAGAACAGAATGGTACAAGGACAAGGACGATCAAGGACAAGGTTGCAAGGACACTCAGAATGTAGGAGTAGGGTGATAAGGAAAAGGAGAGGGCAGGAAATGAGGAAAAACAGAGAGGTGGGCAGAGGCAAATAAATATCAAGACATACGGACATGGCAAGCGAGGAGCAAGAGAAAAGTAGGCAGGAGGAAGCTGGGCAGAGAAAAAAGAGAGAGAGGGGGAAAGAAGGTGAGATACACAAGTACCCAGGAGGGGGGAGTTAAGAGGGAGATAGGATTGGAAAGGATAAAATGGAAGAACAAGAGACAGAGTAAGATGTGTCATGGGAACAGTCAGAGAGAGAACAGGTGGAGACCAAGAGAGGCGGTTTCATTCATAATGGAGACACTGAATGCGCCACACGTCACTCCCCAGCTGTGCCCTCTGAGGGGATTCAGGGCTGTCTGCATCAGGCCACGGGAACAGGACCGAGGAGGCCAGCGCATCGCAGAGGAGGAGAATGTTGCAGGCTGGTATGAACAGGTCAGGGCTTTTTCTGTGGAGTCCATTATAACTGGAATCAATTCTCTACATTCCATTTCTCAAGCATGTCTATCTCTTCTGAGGTCTGTAACTGTAATATCCATTGTGCTTGCCACTAGCCAAGTGAGGCAAATTTGAATGACTGAAAACAGGACAAAGTTTAAAATCCAGTTCTTCACGTGCACTAGCCACATTTCACATGATCGCCACTGATGGCCAGTGGCTACTCTTATGGCCAGCCCAGACCTAGGACATGCCCACCATCATAAAATGTCTACTAGATTTCTTTTCTCCTTTCGGAGCCACCTTTTCCGCAGTTTGGGCAGGGCCGAAAGCACTATCGGTGACTGGTAGATTGCCAAGCATGAGACACAGGAGCCTTTACATCTGTCCAAGATGGGACCTTCACCCAGCTTGGCCAACATGGCACCAACAAGCCTGTGCTAAGCTCGGTTAAGTTTCCACTGGTTCCTGTCCTAATGCCTGATTAGAGCAAATCTCTATCAGACTGGGATCAACAGCCTGAAATTAAAAATGCATTCAGATTTAGGGAGGCTACAACGAAGTGCAAGTGAAACTCCTTTCACCATGTCATCTCCATTAAGGGTCTTGTGGAAGAGGTACTTGCCTCCAACAGGTTAGGGTGTTCCTGGAAAAAGTGTTGATCTGTTGTGAATCTATGGATCTAGTCCAAATCTAAGCTCTTTCACTAGCTAGTTGACTTTGAACTTAACTTTCTTTGAGCCCCAGTTACTTTATTTACATATATATGTGTGGGTTTGTGTATGTGCATGTGTATGTGCATGGTTTTATTAAAATATATATGAACACGTACTGTGTTTGTGGACACACTTATGTATGTATGTATATGTGCACAGTATATACATACATAGTATATACAAATGCGTGTGTGAAAGTCATGGAATATAGTGGTTGAGCACTTGACCACTAACTGAAAACTGGACAGTTCAAGTTCACCAGCAGCTCCACATCTATTTCCAGCCCTGGAAACCTGCTTCTCTAAAGAATCACGATGCATCAGAAACAATTCAATGACCACGGGTTTGGCGGAGAAGCACATGCATGTGCAGTGTGTTGTTGCCGTCTACACGTGCTGTCGGGTCAGTTCTGACTCATAGCGGCCCTCTGGACACCAGAAGGAAACTGTGTCTGGTCCGGCACCATCTTCACAATTGTTCCTGTACTTGAACCCACGGCTGCAGCCACTGTTGAATCCATCATGTTGAAGGCCTTGTTCTTTCTCACTGCCCCAAACTTAACCAAGCAAGATTTCCTTCTCCACACATGTGTATGTGTATATATTTCTATATATGGCTTCACGTATATAGCAATGTATATTAGACACAGTATGTATATGTATAGCTTCAAAATACATGTATTTTGGCTGTATGTATGGCTTTAAAATACATATGTATATTCATGTATTTATGTAGTCTAAAAGCTTGTGGGAAAACAATTCAAAGATAATGAAGCTTTTCAGGGAACATTGTGAAGCGCCCGTGTGTGATCTAGACAGTACTCACTGTACTCCGGGCATTCTTCTACTTATTTCTTTTTGTTTGCTTGGGTTTCTTTATTTAGTTAGTAATGTTTTGGGTTTTTTTAGCTAGTAATTTTTTTAAACTTTTTATAGTGTTTGGGTAAACATTTACAAAGCAAATTCATTTTCCACTCGTGATTTCCACACTACTCATTTCACGGCAGTGATTAGTGCGTCCACAATGTACCAGCACTCTCCCCTCTTCCTCCTGGGTTCCCCATTTCTATCTGTTCTTTCCTGCCCCTTCTTGCCTTCTGAACTTTGTTTTTTGGCAAATGCTGCCCTTTTGGTCTCGTATGGATGATTATTCTAAGGAGCATATTTCTCCTGGTGGTATCATTCACTCTATAGGCCTGTCTATTGTTTGTCCTGAAGATGCTTTGGAGGGGTGAACTTGGTTCCAGGCAAGAAAGGTGTCTGAAGGGCACAGTTTCTGAGAGTCTACCAATCTCCATCATGTTAGTAAGCCTGGTTTCCTTTTTATGATTTGGGGTCTTGTTCCATGTTTTGCTCTGATTCTATTCAGGATCTTCTATTTTGATTCCAGTAGTGGTAGCCAAGCAGCATCTAGTTATTTGGGGCTAAGGTTTGTGTGGCCCATTAGAACTTTGAACTAATTGGTGCCCAGAGTCTTTGCTTTTTCTTTACTTTTCTTTGCTTCAGACAAAGAAAGACTAATTGTTGAATCTTAGATAGTCACTGGCAACTCTTAAGACCCCAGCAGGATGCAGACAAGGGTCTTTGTAGACTATGTCATGCCAAATAGCCTAGGTGTCCCCCAAGACAAGTCAGGTACTCTTGTAACTGCATTAAGAAGTATAGCTCATGAATTCTCATAACAACCACAGACAGTAACTGTGGTTTTTACCCCTTTTTAAGAGATGAGGAAATTGAGACACAGGTTAGGCAATCTGTCCAAGATTACAGCCCAAGCCATCAGGCTCCAGAGTTCATTCAAATAAGAATAACAATCATTTCTAGGATGGTTTTCAAAATACTGAAAAATCATTTCAACACTGACACCAACCAATTCTTATAGATATGAACTACCGTGCTGGAACAGAGTCTTGGAAACTCCTTGCTCTCCCAGGGGCTAATTCATGAGTTCCGAGACCCTGAGGCAGTCAAGGGTCCCCCCCACTCAAGAATGTGGGAAGGACAGGAGTAGGGCCCTTTATGGCTTGAGATAGCAAACATCCACGGACTTCTATAGAATCATTTAAATAATTTACCCACTGATGTGACTATACTGGGTGTACCAATTGAGTTATCAACCTTGGGCATGCCTACTTTATTATTCCACTGGGATTGTGGAAGTTAAATAAGATAACCTCTTTATTATCTTATTAATTATACTTGTGTTATTTCCATTTCTCTAATTCAATTCATACCATAGGATGGTGTAGAAGAATAAATGAAAACATAGGCAATGTTCTTAGTAAGGTACCTAGCTCAACACCCTACTCACTGCCACTGAGTCAATTCTAATGCACAGCAATCTTATATAGTTTCTGAGGCTGTAAATCTTTAATGGGCGCTAACGCCTCACTTTCCTTACACAGAGCATTTGGAAGGTTTGAACAGCTTACTCTGTGGTTAGCAGTCCAATGCTTAGCTGACAGTGCCACCAGGACACTGCCTAGCACACTCACTTGATGCCAACTCATAGCAACCCTGTCGGACTGTCACTGTGAGTTTCTGAGGCTGTAACTCTTTCTGGGTGTAGAAAGTTCCCTCTTTCTCCCACAGAGTGACTGATGATTTCACATTGCGGACCTTGCAGTGAGCAGCAGCCCAATGTGTAATCTAAATATTGTTTATCTTGTTCTCTTCCCTCCTTCTCCGTGTAACCAGGGCCACAGGCCGCTGTCCAATAATACCCTTCCTCTCAATGCGGCTGGGCTCACCCTAAACTGTGTTTCTCAGAGAAGCTACCAGCGCTTCAGCAAGAGTGCAGTGGCTGTTACACCGTTCCCTAGATTCTCGAGAGGGGGGCAACAGTGGCAGAAGTCAGTAAAAGCAAACCCAGAGTCCGTAGTCAAACATACAAGGAAATCTTTACCGCCCTCAGGCCTGTAGAACCACTCCACCACCGTGGTGGCCTCCACCTCCTCCCTCTTCATGCAGGAGATGCAGCGAAGCTTCATGGAATTGCCCTGAACAGCCTCCGTCTCCGAGGGCACCTCCACACACACAGGGAAGCAGACATTGACTGGAGAGAGAGTGGACGACAAGGAAGGAACAGGAGGGTGTTGGGGAGAGAAAGACATTGGAGAGGGGAAAAAAGGAGAGGAAGGAGGAGAGACAGATAAGGAAGAAGAATGAGATCATTTGAAAATACCCAAATGCATGTAACTGTTCCTTTACCTATGCTCTCTGAGTGTATTCTGTGTAGAGTCTCTTCAGAAGAGGCTCACAGTGATATAGAGAAGACATGGATGATACAAGATATTTAATGAAATCATTTTCTAGAAGCAATGTAGATACAACACAGTATATAATTGAGCCTTGTCCTCAAAGACTAGGAGTCTAGATAGGGACAAAGATTCTGCATGCATCCATCAACCATCCATCCACCCAGCCAATCATTAAATAAACATTCCCTGAAAGTTTATACTAAGCCTTATGTTAGACGAGAGAAACAGAGATGAATAAAGCACTAACCAAGCCCTAAAGGGCTTCCCTAACTACAATCCCATGAGACCATGCAAGAGACCCTCATGGAGATGGACTAGCACAGAAGCTACAACCATGGGCTCAAACATAACACCAATGTGAGAATGGTGCAGAACTGGGCGGTGTGTCACTCTGCTGTACATACGGTCATGTTGTGAAAGCCTCTATATGCCACTCACCATATAAGGTACTTATTATGTTGATGCCAGGGCATGTACTATTCTATCTGTGCTTTATGAAAAATATACATGACTCTTGCTATGTGGTGGAAGATTAAGTAGCGATGAGGAAGACAATGAGCTGATCACTAAGTGAGGGCAGTGCTGCCTACAGAGGAGAGGGAAAAGGTTAAATAAATTGGCAAGATGTCAGATTATGAGACTCTGCGTGCCATGTGGAGGTCCATGCCCTCTAGAGGCTAATGGCTTGTTATAGGAGGCGAGCATTCAGATTGCAAACTCTGAGTGAGACAAAAACAAGGCAAGGCTGCCAACAAAAGCAAGTGCAAATGAGGGCTGCATTAACAGGTGTACAGTGTGGAAAACAAAAGAGAAACCGGGCCTCTTCACTATCCAGAACACATCGGAGTCAGTGTCGGGTGTCACCATTTACAAAAGGAAGCTGTTTAATGTATACACACGCACGGGAGAACAAGAGAGTTCAGAGTCACCTCTGCAGTCTGCGGGAGGGCTCCTGTCCAGTAGAGAAGGGCCACATCTCGAGAGGAATTCTTGGCAATTCCCTTAGCATGTCACGAGTCTGAAGTCACAATTGAATACTTGGTGACACAGAAAGCATGGTCTGCACAGAGAGTTTCAAGTACACCAAGGTAGAGGGTGCGCAGAGAGACCGCTCTGTCGTCCAGAGCCTGGGCACATTCATAAGGAGGAGAAGTGCTGAAGACTAGGTAGTTCAGTGAAGAAGACTTTGAAAGCAGAACAGGAACATGTTGTAAGAAATTTACTGTCGTGATTATGGAGGCAGGATCAAAACTGTATTTAGTAATTGAAGGCCTGGGTTGGATCTACTATTTAATTTTTTTAAGCCTAAATTTCTTGAAAATTATACCTACCAAATAGAACGGTAAAGGTGTCCTGTTAGTGGTTAAGTGCTCTACTGCTAAGTTAAAGATCCGCAGTTGAAACCCACTGGCTGCTCTGTAAAACCCATCAGTCTACTCCATAAAGAGTTATGGTCTTAGAAACCCACAGGGGTAGTTCTACCCTGTCCTACAGGGTCAGTATGAGTTGAAATCAAACTAATGGCAGTGAATTTTGAGTAAAATGTAAAGATTATAACCTAGGAAACCCTGTGAGGCAGCTCGCCATAGGATCGCTCAATAGCAGTGTGTATGTAATAAATTTGTCCTGATATTTCAATGGAATAATTTATGTGAATTTGCTTTATACAAATGTCATTTACTCATGTTATGCTGGCTTTCATTTATTTGTTCATTTAGTCAATGTACAAGGGGATTCAAAAAGCTTGTGGGAAAATTCATTATCTTTTTAAAAAATTTCATTATCTTTTAATTCTATTTTTCACAAAAATTTTGAAGCCCCGGTGTATACATTGAAGGCCTACTGTGTGTCAGGTACTGATGATAGAGGGGGACAAAGTAGAAACCATTCAGGCAGAGAGAGAAAATAAACAAGTTGAATTGTAGTGAATGCTATAAGAGGGAATAAAGTAAAACAGAAGAGGAAGCAGAAGAGGAGCCCAGGTGTTGCAATGATTAAACTTTGTAATTAACTGAAAGGTTGGCAGTTCAAATCTACCATTGTGGTAGTTACACAAGTTCATGCCAACTTGGTATATAAGAATGAAGGGGTGGAGTTTAACCTGTCAATCAGGTCAAGGCCTAATCCCTCCTTGTGGGCGTGGCCTTCTCGTGAGGATTCTGGGAACTCTCTCTGCTACACTTTCCTGAAGACAAGCCACATGGAGCCACACAGATGGCAGGGAGAACCCTGGAGATGCTTTCACCACCACTGGATCCATAAGACTTTCCACCCACTGGCCTGTGACTTTCCTGCATTCTGCATCATTGCCTGTGCTGCATGAGTCTGAAGAAGAATTTATGTACTAGTATGGAATAAATGGGCTAATATCGGACTTATGGACATGATCTGCACTGGGCTGGGATGTTTTCTTAATATACAATTACTCTTTAATATAAAACTCTCTCTTACACACAAATGTCTCTGGATTTGTTTCTTTAGTCAACCTGGACTAACACAGTTAGGTAATTACTAAATAACCAGGGCACCAATTGATAACTGATAGGAAAATCCCTAGAGCTCAGGCACCTGGGGTAGAGAATGTGGGAACCAGATGAATTAAAAAAAAGAGGGGTGAGGGGAAACAAGTCTTAGGGGATGCTCTGGAAAGGTTGTTAACCCCACAGAACTCAGCCATGAGGAATGGGGGAGGGGGCTTATGAACTAAGGGATAAACTGCTTTCAGAGGAGCTGTGAGGAATGCCCCCCCCCTCCACCCCTTTTTGGCCAATTTGTCTCAGGGCTTGGGTGCCTGATTTTGCAAAATCAAACAGTAAAGGCTTCCATTTTGCTAAAGTGAGTCCGATTGGATTTCTTGAGTGTTCATGATCAAAATCCCGTGAAAGCCCCTTGGTACACTCATATGCAATAAGGCAGTCCGTACCAGTTCTCTCTTGAGAGACCCACTGGGGTATGGTCCAAATCAGGGATTTATACTGATCTGCCAATTACCAAGAGGAACCAATACAATGTGTGGGATTTCAACAATGCTTCTCATGAAACTGGGGGCTCATCCAGGATATTTTCCACCCATATGAAGCAGCAGCCCTGGTGGAAAAGGACGCGGGAAGCATCCCACCTGGGTTTTAGCAGCCTGCTCCATCCACAGAGTTGACTGCCTCCCAGTAATGACCTGAGGCTGTTAGAAGAGTTAGAAAGATGGCAGTCAGTGGTGAAAACAGACTACCGAGGCAGCCAGGCAGCCTCGTGCATGATCCAGGCTGAGAAAACTGGACTGCAAGTCCTCCCTTGGTGGCTTGGCATTTTCCAGGGTCCAGTGTGTGTGACTGCGACATACCTTGGATACGAAGCAAGTCCTGAGTCCTAATCCATGGTTCCGTCCTCTGGAGAGGGGACTGTATGGAGAACGATGAAATGAACCGTGGGGTGTGCCAAGAAATCCCCAAAGAAAGGGGTGTTGTGCACACAGGAAGTGTGTAAAAAGACTCCAAGGAAGCGAGGTTGGGGGAGGGGTGTGGGTGTACAGAGAAGCTCAGACGCCTCACACCGACAGCAAGAGAAAACGGCAAACGAAAGCTCTAGGTCTAGAAAGGAGAAACAAAATGGATGGGAGGTGCCCCTAGAGTAAAGTGACCAGATTTTAACATTGGTAAACCGGGACACCATTGACCAGGGTGGGGGTGGGGGTTCTTGATTAAAAATTGGGTCTATATGGAGCAACAAAAATTTTCATAGAACGCAAAAATAGTATTGTAATATATATTTTTTAATTTCAACATAAGTACAATTTACAAATATAATACATTAAAGAATTAGGTATAATATTATTTTATTCTTTGGTATATTTCTCATTTGAGTGAATTTTTTTTAGTAGATTGCTGTCGTTGTTTAAAAGGTCATGAAATATTTCACAAGAATTTGTTAAATTATATTTCACACATAAAATGGCTTTCAAAGTCTCAACACTTAATTGTGAATTTTCTGATGTCCACACTTTATTTACCGTATTAAAAGCGCGTTCAGTCGCAGCAATAGTTCCTGGTAAGGACAGCGCATATTCCACAATTTCTAGTGCATTAATGTATGGAATATGGTTTGTTTCAAAATGAGGAAATATTTCTAACAATTTGTTCTCTATTGTGTATTTTGCTGATGCCCAAGATTTAACCTTTTCCTTATCAATATATTTTTTAATAATGATACCTCATCAAAAAGATCATTTTTGGAAATATTACTATATGGGAAATTTTGAGTAATATGATTGAATGATTTTTGTACATCATTCCAGTACTGTCTGAAAAATTCAAGAAAATTTATATATTTATGAAATAAATAAATTACTTACCTAAATGATCTGAATAGCTGATTTGTTGACATCACTTGTTTAGCTAGCACTAGCACGCAGTACGATGTGTATCATCTGAGAGACAGTTACAAAATGTTTTCGTCGTTGCCAATGCCAAAAAATGCCATTGTTCTTTAAGTCCAAACAATGGTGGTCGAAATTCTAACAACTGATCAACAATGCGAATTTTGATAAGCAGTTCTCAATAATCAGTTCTCAACAATTATTTGTTATTATTAAAGTTTAACATCATAAAATCAACAAAAATAATATAAAATCCATATCCTGGCGAAATAGCCACATGGCAGCCGAAAACCGTATATTCCCTTCCCGTTCTCCCACCGTTCCCTACCTTGTCGTGCATTCTTTCCAAAAATCGGGAATCTTTTAAAACGCTGCAGGATTGTTAAGAATCGGGACTGTCTGGTCACCTTACCTTAGGGACATTCC